GTGATTTCATGCGATTTCCAAATCTGGACATCTGACCCGGACAGTTGAGGTCAAGCGAGATTGAGAGAGAACCTGTTACTTGGCTGGAAGAATTTGCCTCACTCTGGGTAAGTCACTCGGTTGGGTACTTCATCCTGAGGGTACAGAAAGTGGACACAAAACCCCAACATTGCCTACCAGATCCTACATACAGTACATTGATGTTCGATCAATTGTTATTTTTTTCTTCAGACAGTTCAGTCTTTCCGTTGGATCTTTCATCCCAAAGAAATCTTTCGTTTATATATATAATCAACCCCAGTGAAAACATGATTTCTTCGGATTGCGCACCTCAGGAGCGGCCAGCCCTTCCAGCTGTGGCAGCTCCTCGGTGAGTGGAGTCGAGTTCCGACGAGGTTCGGTGAGGGTAGTAGATAGATGTAGATGTAGATGTAGATGTAGATGTAGATGTAGATGTAGATAGTAAACATAATGCGATATTATCATATTAACCATACCAATATTTTGCGTAGTATATACAAATATATATAGACTATCAGGCTATCACAGACTTCAGTAGACTGCTTGGCCTTGTAGACTCCATGACATGTACGTGACCCTACCAGAGAGCTCATCAGAAGAAAGTGATACAGAAATAGGAGTTGGGGCAGGCCTGAGGATGTCCACTGATGCTTGGGGGAATCCAACCTTGAATGGACAAAGACATCCAACCATGAAGACAAAACCTGTGATTACGCAAGAACATCGGCACAAATGCTTCGAATAGAGTAGCTTGCACTTTTCTGGGTAGGCAATCTATAGCACGAACCAGGGGTCACGAACTCGGATAGCGTCTACCTGCTTATACAACAATTGCTTGGCAAATACAATACGGTATGAACGCAGGTAGATTAAAGCTTTGGTAGGTCAACAAAAAGGTGAAGGAGCTTGTTGCCAGGGTTGGTTCATGTGGGAGGTTCCTGCCCCTTGAACAGAAAACACGGTAGTGCTTGTGAAAGACATCCAACTGAGGGATGGTTTCAGGGTGTGGTTGACTGCATTTTAAGGTGGAGAAAGCGGAGCTTCAGACCAGTGACCTGGAGGAGAGCAGCTGTGCAGCAACAGCAGAGTGCGTGTTTTGGACAATCTGAATTTGGGGAAGTGGATGCCTTTTCAGTGGCAAAAAGGATCTGGATGGAGCAAGCTTGCACCAACCGCATCCATTTGTGTCCTTTCATTCGGTGTTGGAGTTGGCTTTTGCTCAAAGAACATATGAAAAATAAGACTCTGTAGTCTATGTCCATACAATTCCGAAAGAGGAGATGTTCAGAAAAACACACTTTGTGTACTCCCTGTCGCGGCACATCTTAGGCCTGCACCCTGAAGAGTTGGGCTTGCTGCGCCCCGCGCAAAGTTGGAGCAGGAGGCCAGTATGCTGAGGTTGCCACAAAGATTGTCTCAAACGCTGGTCACCCTGTTTGCTGCTAGTAACAAGTGCGTCGCTACTAGTAACAAGGGCATTGTTTCCAATACCCTACCTAATTAAGGTGTTCTTTGGATAAGTTTGTCCATTGAGCAGCTCTTGACCACTGAGTGAACAAAAACGATTCTCAAACATTGTCACATCGTGACTCGAATTGACAGCCTTGGGTAGGCCGCGAAGACAGGCGCGCAGATCAGCAGTTGAAACGCCATGGCAAAAACCAACGATATGCATTTTTCCTGGCGCTTTTGTGACAAAGATATGGCTGTGTTCAACATGGAGCCCTAAAACCTGTTAGATCCCCGGCTCAAAACAAACAACTGAGTTTTTGCCCCCATGTTTTTCTTTCCCATTCTTCCATTGCTTCGTGCCTCGCAACGGTTCAAGTGCGTGTTTCTGCATCTCGGGAGTGAATCTTCTCTTGCGCGCAGGACGAGGACGTAGCCAGGCCAGACCAATTACAGTATAGGCCGAATGGGCAGGGGCGGATGGGCGGCCTGGGTTTCAATCTGAACAATTTTTCTAATTCTGTCTTCATTTAGATGCTGTTCATATAGTCATATAATGTCAGATAGCGTTTATCTTGGCTTTATTGTTTGTCCTGTCACCTCCTGTGCCTGGTATTTCCACGGCGTAGGACGATACTCGACAACTCACCAACATGGAAGCGGATCTCGAGCTCGAAAGATAGGTGCCCAGATGTGCCTCCCGCGAAGTCGCTCGTGAGAGTTGAAAGAACAAGTGGGTCACTCGTCAGACCATGTTATACCCTGAGAGCGTTTACTTTCTTGAAAAGCACCTTCTACCCATCCCAGCATTACATGTGTGACAAGTGGATAGGTGCGGTGTGGAGTGTTTAGTCAGGGTTGGCCTGCTCCAAAAGACGAGTTGGCTCAACCCAAGGTCATCTATATAACAATATGTGGGCTACAGCAAAATTGCCAAACGCCTGAAGTTGATGTTTTTGAGGGCCAATTTGCATTTGTAGCAACATGTAGCAGCTGATTGAAGTGTTGGGAGACACCGGTCTGCCTCTTCGATCAACCCAATCTGATCGTGGCTCATTGTGCTTTAGCAAGTGAGTCCAAATTCTTTGGCAGTGTAGTGTAGGCACTAAAATATCTCTCGTAGGACCAGTTAGTGAGATGAAATGCTTATCATTACCTTCCCTGATGCCTCGCATTTGCTTGGAGGGAAGAGATGCAAGAGGAGATTCGTCAGAAAAAGACGGCCCTCTTTGAGGATCTAGGGTCTGGTGGGGTCTGGCAGACAGCTTCCGGACATACGAAGACATAAGTCGAATCCGTTTCTGCCATTGAGTCTCAAAGACAGTCAGGGCAGTGGTTCAGAATGAGAAAAGTGTGATGCTTGATCGGTTTAAACCGGCTAGAACAATCTTACCTGCTTGAAAGGGCTTTCACTTTCTTTGAAAGCTTTCCACTCCGCTGCAACTCATCCCCGCAAGCTTTCTTTTTGTTCTCTCATTCTTGTGGGTTTGAGGAGACTCAAGAGAGGCGACGGGAAGAATGGAGTAAGCTGGGCATCGAGGAGGGTGAGTCCGTTCTTCTTTGCATTGGAGAGAGAGAGAGAGAGAGTAAGAGTCTGGCTCAAGTGTCGGCTCAAGGATCAAGGATCAGGTGGCTCAAGCCGGGAGGCCCGCTTGGAGTTCGTGGAGGGCACTGGACCTTTCTCACGGCTTTTGCCCCGGTTCTCACCTACCTGGAGGCATTGCCCGTGATAGAGTCTGTGGAGCTCTTTGGCCAGACGATGATGCAGTCAAGCTGAGGTGGCCCGGTGGTCTCCGAGGTCATGCATGTCAAAAAGATCTTCTCCTTCATGATTCCTGGGATCTCGATTTCTGCAGCGGAAAGTTGTCGTTCAGCAAGAAATTGATTCATGGCGCTCATGTAAGTCATCCTTTGTTCAATGTCACGCTGAAGGCCCGATTCTGCAGCGCTAACATTGTAGCCGATCCTCAAGCGGCGCCAGAGATCGTATCAAGTTTGTCAAGGCTGCTCTTATTCCTGGATATGGAGTGACCGGATCTCTGAGCAGAGATGGTGCTGTGATAAATGTGGAACTCACTGGCCACAGACAAAGGGATGGCAAGCCGCCGGGCCTTGGCAGGAAGCAGGCCCCCTCCATGGTTGAGAGGGCCTTGAAACAAGGATGGCGCAATCTGACCAAAGAAGTCAGAACTCCAGCCACTGGAGGAAGTGCTGAAGGCCCTTTTGGGGGCTTTGCCCAAGAAGGAAGGACGCTGTAGAGGGCCTCATCAAGCCAACGCCAGTGGAAGTGGACGTCACCGGCAAGCTCAAGGCCATGGTTGGGGAACTGCGACAATTGTCGACCAAGAAACAGTCACTGCAACGCAGAGTTGATGTGGCTAAAGAGCAGCCCGTCAGCTGTTGGGAGGGGGCAAACGTGAACGAGATGCAGATAATGATGTGCTTGAAGTAGATGTAGATGATGATGCTCAGCTTGGACAAAGAACCACCCATCCTGGGCATCTTCAACACAGATTGCACACTCTTCAACCCAAGGCCACCGAGGCCATCCTGGCCTTGCCGGCCTGAAGCATGTTTTGCGTATGAGATTGGCTCTTCAGAGTAATCTGATGCTGCGCCGGCCGGTGGAGGATGGCTTTACGGTCCCACCTGTGGTGGAACTGCTGGCTGCAAATTTGACGCTTGTCACTCACGACAAGGGCAGCCGCTGCTATGCAAACTCTGTCATCAGAATGTGGTGTTGGATGGGCGCCCATCATGACAGACCGGAAGAGTTTTGGGGGGTGTCCAGCAAGACGACATTGAGGACCTGTTCTGGGCTTCGGAGCTGCAACCAGCCATTGCCTGGCTGGGGAGAACCCACAAGGGCAACATGACACAGGTGAGTTCTTGATCCACCTGTGGATGGGTCAAACTGGTTTGCAGGGCAACTGGCACTCTTTGTTCGGTGGGCAGCAACAAGACTTTGACACGGTGCCTTTAACCTCAACAGGGCATGCAAACCACTCCACCTTCGTCTTGCGAGGCATCATCTCTCGCAAAGAGAGGACCTCGTCAGCGGGCACTACATCACCCTGCTGGGAGAAGGAGAAGCTGTATGGCCGGCTGACGATGGAAGCAGCCCACAGGCCCTCAAAGAAAGGAACCTTCCTGATTTGGGCTTCTCTGCCATCGAACTTCTGGAGTCGGTCCAGTCGGTCCAGTGGCGCCATTGCCCCGCCACCCAAGAGAGCTAGACCGGATGGTGAAGACATTGAAAGCTTCTATGCCAACATTACACAATGGTCCAATGAAGTGCGGTGGCATGATGGTTGAGACGCATTTGCAGGGGCCAAAGCTTGAGCAAGCTCTGTTCCAGGGCCAGGTGGCAACCTAGAAGCTTGGGAGACAGGTCAAGGCGGCAACAGTGCAGGCTTCTGTTCTGTATCGGAGTCCTGCGCGAGTTTGACAGTGAGTTTCTTTGCCAATGTCTTGCGACGGCGTGAATGGGAGCTGGCTCTCGTGTCCATCTACTTGCGGAGTGGGGATGACTTGAACTCCCCCACCAACAGCACTGTGCTGGGTGCCCTGGCTGCTTTCCTCAACTAATTAATTTTTTGGCAATCGCCGGGCTGTGATTGGGGACTTTACTGTCCCGCCGGAGCAATCCTGCTGAATGTCTTGAAGGCGGCTGAACTGGTTGCTGGTTGCTTGTGGAGAGGCCACTCTGGTTAATGGCAATGAACTGGACTACCTGCTTGCGAGCCGTGATCGGGCTCCTTTCATCTCAGTCGCCGTCGCGTGGGAGATTGGGTGGCGGCCTCACGCAGGACTTGTGGTCAAAGTGGTTCATGATGTTCCAAGGATCTCACTTCAGCAGCTGAACACCTACCAGCCCATCCCGAAGTTGGACGAAGCTGCCCGGCATAAGAAAGTTGCCCTTACCAACAGGCGGCTGAAGACCAGGGATGGTTGTCGCAGGCCATCAATCGTGGACAGAGTGGCGTCTACAAGTGCCTCAAAGCCCCAGATTCCATCCATGTCCGACCATTTCGCAGTGCGCCGGCGCAGCAAAGGCAGGTCTTGAGAGAAAAACAATGGTTTGGCAGATGGCAAGCCCTGGATGCGCCCAAGCGCAGCGGTGAGCGGGAGAGATTGCGCTACGAAGCTGTCAAACAAGCCAAAGAGTGGGTGAACTTGATCCACGTCTGGTGATGAAACAACTCCGACGACTACCGCAGAAGGCCAGCGGTCCAGATGGCGTCAGTTACGACTTGCTCAAAAGCCTGCCACTATAGAAGGGGTCACTTGTTTGCGCAGCCTGTTTCAGAGCTGGGAACTAGTAGGTCGTTTGCCAGACCAAGTTGCTACGCTGGCGATACTTAATTTCTTTGACTACAGGACTTGGTGCAAAATCTGCTGGGATAAGCTCCGGGGCTGGCAGATGAACATTGGCCATCATCTCCCTTGGGAACGCTCAGTGCCTGGGACGCATGTCCTGCAGGTCGCCCTCGTGCGAAGTTGGCCGCGCGGTTGGGCGCCATGTGGTGTCCTTGTTGGTGGATCTTCAATGTTTCTACGATAGTGTGGAGCTTGAGCGGCTGCTCGAGTTGTGGGAACCTCTCAACTTCCCTCCAGGCTTCATGAACTTCACCTATGAAGCCTACACTGGGCCAAGGCTTTTGCAAGGTGAGCAGCAGACCTCCAAGCCAGTGCACTGTGCTCGGGTCATGTTAGCAGGAGGTGGCCAAGTTGGTTTTGGCACCGGTGTTGAAGCCCTTTGCAGTTGCCTATCCCAGAGCCTCCATTGATGTTTGGATAGAGAACATCTCCATCGACTTTGTTGCAGAGGAGGCTGCGCAAGCGAGCAGGCAAACCTTGGAAGGCTATGAGCTTCTCTTGGAAGGTGCAGGGTTTACTTTGTCAGTTGGGAAGACAGGTTTCCTGGCTTCGTCGGTGGCTGCCAAGAATGCTCTCAACCTCTTCCGCAAGATGGACAGCCTCAGGTTCATGACCTGCTGGCATGATTGAGCAACTACGAGCCTGTTGATGGTCCGGACTCCTTTGAAGTCCATGGTCTATTTGCACGGGGGTGGCCACTGCCAATCGGCTGGCTCTCATGGGGGAAGGCTACCGCGCAGGATCCTCACCTTCGTCGCTATGCAGTGGCCTTGCAAGTTGGTCACTGGTCTGAGGGCAGCTGGATTGTCGATGGCGCCTGCGCAGCAATAGCATCTGGGCAGGCCGCGGAGGCCCGTGGTGGTTTTTTGGATGCTGGGTTCTCCCAGGCAGTTCTTGGCCACCGCCTGGTGAACATATACCACACCGGGCGGCTTGGGCAGCGGTGCAGAAAGGTGACTTGGAACCGGCCGCAGTTGCTGCGTGTGGCTTGGCAACAGTTCGACAGTGTCAGGAAGAGTGCCAATGCCAGGCTGGGCAGGGGAGCTGGAATGTGTTATGCTGAAGCTGCCAAAAGGATTTCCAGGATGCTCTAGGACAACGAGCACTACATGAATGCTGAGGCGCCAGCTCATTCACCTCCCAGTCCCAGTCAGCCTCGAGCCTCCCGCCCACTTGGCGGGGTTGAAGTTTTCCGCAGGCTCGCGCAAGCTGCTCATGTGGAAGGACGGTTGTACCGGTGCCACAGGCGCATCAAAAGCTGCGCCACTCATGGGGAGATTGAGGCCAGGCAGCAAGAGATGCGCGCAGGGCAAGTGGCACGGACATTGGAAAGCGCTCTCAAGCAGCTCGTTGAGGAGAGTGAGACACCGAGTGCCAATTCAGATGGACATATGTGGTTCCTGAAGGCAAGGGCTGCAAATGTTGGCAGAGCGCATCCCTAGGAGAAGTGGGAAGTCAGCGTTGCTTGCTCTTCAGGCCATGGAATGCCACAGTGGCCCAGTTGGAGAGGGAGATCTGCCCATACAAGGCAGATTGCATCCAAGCCATGACTATGTTCGACATGGGCCCTGGATCGAATGCACTAGGTGCCACAAAACGACGAAGTGGGCAGACAAGCAGAGGCTCATGTGGACAAGCCTCCAGTGTCAGAAGCTGCGAGGACAGCAGCCCTTGCTGTTTGGCCCGAGTTCGGAGTCCTAGGATGGTGGACGGCTAGAAGCTGCAGGCTAGCATTTGGTGCTTCCTGGTTTCAAGGCGAATGATCCTTGGCCGGTTGCGCAGGTTTAGCAGCAGATATATTGTATATATATATATATATCTGTTTTTCTATCCCCAGGGTGCCGGGCACCCTGGAGGGCGTCGCCTGCATCATGGGGCCTGTTTGAGTGGCGCTTTTGGAGCAGTGAGCTAGGAAAGAACCAAGAGAAAAAGAGTAAGAGTCTGCAGAAAGATGCACAAAGCAATCGTCGAATGTTTGATGTTTTGCGCATGGAGACGGCTGTTTTCCTTGAGCAGGATGACCAGCTTCTTGGCGGACGCGATCTCTTTTTCCTTTTTGGAACACCTCAGTTTTCACAGCCTTTGGTTGAGAGGTGCTCCAATTGCATCATGCTTCTGGTAACGCACTCTTATGATACAGGTCTCCAGAAAGGAGCGGCGCAATCATTTTCATCGATCTATATACCTATGCAGGAGGGTTCAATTGAGATGACGATTGACCATCCAATTGAAAGAACACAGAGGCTTTTGCAGATATGGCTGTCTTCCTTGCAGTACATATCAGATTGACCATCCGGCAAGTCTTCGGCCCTTGAAACCACTAAGGTCAGGTGGTGAAGACACTCTCACTTCGCAGGCGAACGAACAGTGCTGGAAGCATCGATTCGATTTGCATCCCTCGGAGTCACACGTCCTTCTCAGATACAGATAACTTGCCCGGAGTTGTTATTCGTGATTTGGACATCAATTCACAGCGACCCGTTTCTCTTTAAGTGAAGTGCATAGAAATGTATCATCGTGTATCTGCATTTGCAAAGGTTTTAAGTTATCGTAACTGATGCAACATGGCTTCCTTCCTGCTTTGCAGGCCCTGAAGGTGCATGGGAAGTTCACTTTTGGAGGAGGCAAGCAGAAGGCTCGCCAAAACTAAGGGTTCGGCTTTCTGGTTGGAACACATTTGTAGCTGTAGTAGCCTTTTCCAAACTATGTCAAACAGTGCAAACCCAGTTTTCAGGCGGATTGGACTTCAAGAGTAACATTGCACGTCGCAATATTTTTCTCCTCCACCACAGGGTTTTTTCACGAAAGCCAGCCGAGAGTTGTTTAGACGAAAGGGTGTGGGAGGACAGAGGCGCCTTTTTGGAGGCCCCTAACGCAACCTTTATATATATAATATATATTTAAAACTTGTAATTTATGCAATTGAACATCAGCACTGTTCGGGAAGAGGCCCTCCTGCATCAAACTTGCATGATTCCTACACTTTCGAGCAACGCTCAACTTTGTTTTCCAAGTTACTGCTCACAAAGGAAAGGTCGATCTTCAGTGCTTCAAAGACAAAAAATTGGTTAGAATTGGAGTCGGCAGAAGATCGATGGAATCTCTTTGCGCCGGAGGTGCCGGGGCAAAAATCTCCCAGTGGCCATCCAGGAGCCTGTCAACTTTCACTATTTTTTGCTTTAGGTTTCCTAGTCTTCATGTTTTATCTTTCGACTTTAGACCATTCCTTTTTCATTCTTTCTTCGTGTTTGATGCTTTTGCAAAGGCTGTAGAGTGCTAGATTTGCAGTTCTTTGTTTCGTGTTGTAGCAGAGCAGGGGCAAGTCTCACCAGACCATGTCCACCATGTCAACACTTAGACTCAGCGTTGCTTTTTGTTCTTCGCTGGTGAAATGCTTTCTGCTCTCGTCATGGCCCTCAGGCGAATCGTCGAAATTGAGCCTCCTGCCTCCAAGGCATCTGAGTTGGTGTGTTGAAAGCTTCTGGATCCATAGCCTTAGGGCCTTGCACAGTCTTGACAATCGTGCGCGGCTTTGCGTGTCATCTACCCTAACAAGCTTCTGCCAAACTCCAGACGGTATTGGCTAAGAGTTTCCATGTCAATATTTGAGACTGTATAGACCTAAGGAGTGGATACGTTAGCTTGTGCTCTGACACTTTGATGATTATGGCCTTGTGTGTGCAACTCCCGAGGAAGATGGCAGAGATCGCGGTGGATGAGGCAACGGGATTTCAACGGAATCTGACTTTGCTGCTCACATTCATTTTTCCCATGGTCCAGAATTCCCATAGCCAATGAATGAAAGAAATTCAAAACGAACTCATGTTTATCCGTTTATCCATTTCATTTTCTCCGGAACAGTCGTGGAAGTTCTTTCCACCGAACTTGTGGACCCGTCCTTTTCATTTTCTTGGGTTTGCACTTGTGACGGGGCCAAACAGAATCAATCCCCCTAGGTCCTTGCTCCATCCTTCTTTGTGTGACACATTCTGTGATTGATAGCTCATTGCATTTTGGGGGAATTCGGGTTGATTCCTTCTGCCCCCCGCAGAAGATCATGGGTCGTTTGCAAATGAGGTAGTTCTTGATTGGATTGGCAAGGATTCAGTTTCAATCACTTGTATGTTTGGACCGTAGTATTCGTTCCTGAGGCCAGTGTGCGCCTGCGAATGAACCTAATGCTTTTCCCTCAAATTCCAGGCCTGCGAAGCGCACCGTTACTAGTACGTCGATGCGGAAACGTGCAGTGGGACACAGGTTCAAAGCCTTTCTTGTCTCATGTTCTCATTTCTGTTCATAATATTTTTGCATGTATATACATATATGGTTTCCCGCCCTCGGGAGTAAAGAGTAACACACCTTATCCTTCTTATTCTGTAGTGTTTCGGCTTGAGAGTGTGGATGAGCACCTGTCGAGGGTGCAATTCCAGGCTCAGGAAGCCGGGGTTCTGCGATCCCTGTTTCCTCGTAGTGAGGATCGAGCGATTGGTCTTCACTCGGTGTCCACCGAACACTGCAGGAGACCTATTCGACTACTTGAACAATGTCTCCAACACCCTCGAGACTGCCTGCGAGAAGTACGAGGCAGATAGAACAGCTGGCTTCGTGGACGAGAGCGGGGACCCGATCCCTGGTGCCAGGGAGAAGTTCGAGAGAAGAGCGCTTTTGAACAAGGAGGAAAGGATAGCGCAGCCGCCTCAGCGAAAGTCCCTGTGAAGAAGGAGCGTGACGCAGAGTCGGGGAAAGAGCCCTTGGTGGACGCTAAGCGGGATCCCACACCAAAGAAGGAGAGGTCACACGGTCGAGGAGCCGGGCCCGGAGATCTCGATCAAGGCGACGTTCAAGGAGGGTAAAAGAAAGAAAAGCGGGGAAGTCCTATCCCTGACGAAGAGGAAGAAGAAGACGAGCCGCCTAGACCCTCGTCGAAAGTGGAAGAAGAAGTAGAGGACATCGAGGAAGAAGACGACCAATCACCAGAGGAGGCCAAAGACGACGTCGAGTCCGACAAGAAGTACGTGCTCACACGAACAGCGAAAGGGCCTTAAGCGCGTCATCAGAGGTCAGACCCAGAACAATCGCGGTGCAGGCCGTGGAAAAGGAAAAGGCAACGGATGGCGCCGAAAGTGATCAGACGACCAGCTGCAGGGCACAGACGTACAGAGGACGGGGCTCGGGGCGAGATCCCTGGTCTGAGAGAAGAGCTGAAGATCGGGGACCTTGTCCATGGAGAGGAAGCCACCTATTTCGGGAACGCGTGCCAGTTCTCTGGGAAGGTCATGGAAGAATGGAGAGATCCGTCCGGGAGGTACTACATGGTGAAGCTCCTGGGCACAGACATGGAAGCTCTCTTGACGTGGGCCAGCGGAACCACGAGTTACGCCCGAGTTCACCTATGCCCGCCGGACTCGGACGGGATGCAGAAGGGCCAGGAGTCCTGCACTGCGGAAATTTCGGGGGGTACGAACCCTGGAAGACCTTCGAGATCGCCCTTCAAGAGACGTCCTGGTCAGTGCAGTGAGGCGAGAAGGGGACGAGTTGGCCGACCTGAGGAACCGCATGGAAGAGGTGGAGGACCCTGATTGAGAAGGTCGCGGAGCCGGGGCAAAGGAGAAGAAAGAGGAGGGTGAAGAAAAAGAAGAAAAGCCGAAAGAAGAAGAAGGCTCGAAGCTCATCAAGCGAGTCCGTGTCAAAGAAGAGAGGAAAGAAGAAGGCAAAGGAGACAGAGGCTGTCGGGGACACGTGCGAGGACAGGTTCGTCACATCAATCAAGCAGCGCCTCCGAGATCGAGTTCGTTGCAGTGAGCCAGAAGAGAATGTTCGGTGGGAACGGCCTGGATCCGTCAAAGAAGATCCGAAATCGGCAAAAGCGCAAAGCTCAGCGGTACGCCTAGAAGTCGAGGCCAACATCGAGTTGAAGAACGAACATATTTTCGGGGAGCCGCAAAAGATTCGGGCGGTAGGCCTGTCCTGGGTACTGGCCGCACAGGCCATTCACAGCATGCAGGAATACATGCTGCAAGAAGTGGGGCAAGACAGCGCCCCGACAGAAGGCTGGCTGCCGACCCTGCTGAAGTATTACCGCAAAATCTTGGCGAGGAAAGTCTCAGGCCCCATGGGGCGCGAGATTTTGACACTTTGTACGGTGGGCGATCAAATGCTTCGAGGCCATCTCCCATCCTCGACGCGCTCATCCAGCGGGTAAAGTCCCTCGAGGCCCAGGTCAGCGGCCTGGCTTGGACCTCAGCCCAGCGCTTGGAGCTCCTGCCAAGTGATGCCGCTACTTTGTCGTCTTGCCAAGAAATTCGACTGGCTACCACAGAGCAGAGGGCCGAACCACAAGCTCATCAAGGCGGAGGCTGGCGGACGAGAGGAGCGGGAAAGAAGGTCAGAAAGGAGACAAGCGCGAGAAAGGGAAAAGGGGAAAAGGGGAAGGACAAACAGAAGAAGGACTCGTGAAGAGGAGTGAGCAAGAGTCCAAGAGGGCGAGACAGCAGGAAGAGACGGGGCGTTTGATCCCTGCCAAACAGAGGAGCCGAGGAGAGTATAGAGAGGAGGTATTAGCGGGGCCGGTGAGCCCTGATTCAAGTGCAGTATGGCGGGGCGCAAGCCCTGAGAAGTGTGAGAGGCAGACTATGACAACTGGCGGCGCCAGTTTGAAGAAGTCAACGCTGGTTGAAGATGGCCGCAGAAGGTCATACGAGGGCGCCGCGATGTGTTTGGTTTCCCGCCCCCGGGAGTAAAGAGTGACGCACCTTATCCTTCTTATTCTGTAGTGTTTCGGCTTGACCCTCCTCTACCACCCTTTGTCGAATCCCGAGGAAGAAAGACCAAAATCGCCAAGAAACCAGCAAAAAAGGGAGAAAAAGATGCTGGTCTCCCTTAGGGCCTGGCCAGGGTTTGGGGAGTGGCCCACCTGGTCAGGGGGGACGATTGTCTGGGAGCGCCCCCTTCTCTGTGTTGTGGACCAGGAAGGGGGGGGGGACAATCGATCCGACTTTTTGGGAGTTTCTTTTTGTTCCCAACTTTTTCGATTTTGTGACAACCTGGCTGCAGAGCGAATAAGAAAAGAGGTGCTGCTTTATATATATATATTTTTTTTTCCAAATGCGTGGGACACTAGGCAGGCCCGTGTGCCTTTCGCGGAAAAAGAAAACTGATAAGTCAGTTTGCGCGTGAATTATGCTATTACTTCAGAGAAGACCTTCAGGTCGAAAGGAAATAACACGCTCGAGGACGAGACCTTTTTACCCGTTTTGTTTAAATTGCGTCGTTTCTGTTGTTTCTTTTTCTTTCACTTGGTTTCCGAAGTAGGTTTGCTTAGCTTGCTCGCTATTAGGTTGGAGGCCATCGCTTTGAGGTTGGAGGCCATCGCTACTAGGGTGGAGGCCATATGCTTAGCTTGCTTTCTAAATTTCTTCGTCGGCCACGAGGTGACTCACCCGAGAGCAACCTGGGCCTGCCGAGCCAGCAGAGCCTGAATGGGCCGTCGAGGCTCGAGAGGCAACGCTTGAGAGGCTAAACACCGAGGATTGTTTTTTGTAGTCAACTAAGATAACATGTTATTTTGTAATTTTGTTTCACAAAGAATATTTTTCAGTTGTTTGTCTCATAAAGAATTTCATAACTTTTTCACCAACAGTGTGGGTTCTTACGGTAGTGGTTAGGGACCGCTGCCTGATCAAGGTGCTCGCATCCGCGTCCGGCTAACTCGCTGCTACGTACAGTACAGTCATTCACCGAGATCTTCGAGGTGCATTTCGACTGCGCAGGCTCGCAGTGGGCGCGAGCGGTTGCTCTTCGAGACACTGCTCTCGTTGTGGCGCCGTGCGCATGTTGGGGCTTGGCGATCAAATTTTCACGGCAGGCGCAAGGGAAAACTCGTTTTGGTAGTCTGAAATCGACTTTTCATGACAGGTGCAGGAGATTAGAGCAGCGTTACGTCGATGTTCAGATTTTTGTGGCAGGCGCAGTACTTTGGGCGCGGTGGTGGCTTTTTGATGTTTTTTGCGCACTCTGATTTCGTGGCAGGTGTAGTGAATCGCAACTTTTGGACATGTGGCTCGTTTTCTGAAGTCGGAGGAAGCCTCGAGCGAAAGCTGCCTTTTGGCGTCTTGATGTTGTCTGGAAGCGCTCTTGCGGCGAATCGCCTTGGCAGGGCTGTGCGATGTGAATCTTCAAGTGTTGCGATACTTTGTGGACCTTGAAGTGCAGATTTCGTTGCGCTTGCAGTACTTTGTGGACCTTTCGTGGCAGGCGCAGGGCTTTGTGGACCTTAAGTGTAGATTTCGTGGCAGACGCAGTTTTTTTGGTAGAGTGCAGATCTTGTGGCAGGCGCGGTACTTTGAGGACCTTGAACAGAAAATGCATGTGCTCTCAAATGCGCGCCGCCATGACCACACCCGTCACCATCACCATCGCCACCTTCACCACCATCGCCGCCGCCGCCACCACCACCACCGCCACCGCCACCACAAGCACCACCGCCACCGCCGCCGCAACCACCACCACCACCACCACCACCAGCACCACCGCCGCCGCCAGCAGCAGCGCCACCACCACCGCCACCAGCACCACCACCGCCACCACCACCACCACCGCCACCGCCACCACCACCACCACCACCACCATCAGCGCCGCCGCCAGCGCCAGCGCCAGCGCCACCACCACCACCACCACCAGCACCAGCGCCAGAGCTACCGCCGCCACCACCACCACCATCATCACCACCACCATCACCGCCGCCGTTATCACCGCCGTCATTATCGCCCACCTTCGTTCACCTTCACCATCACCGCCACCATTACCAACGCGTACCAACACCATTCACCACCACCATCATCACCGCGTCATCACTTCGCTCTGGAACTCAGAACCTTAGATTAGACTCTAGACCTTTCGCTACACCTCTTGACCTTAGACTAGACCTTTTTGAGTCAGCTTGGGTGAGGATGCAAAGATGCAAAGTGATACTGACTCACATGATTTCACAAGCAGCAGCTGCCACATGAGAGGCCGCCTCCTCTGGCGCACCTTGGCGCGCAATCGAGCAAAAACTTTGGCTCCCGATTTTTCTTTAGCAAATGTTTTGACACGTTCCGTGTAGTTGGTGTGCAGCTGCTTAGCCGGGAAGCCACGAGTTGTTAGGTGCAGTTCGTTTCGATCAGGCCGGCGCCCAAGCCGAACGAGGACGCTGCGCATGCGGCCACACAGGCCGCGCAGGCGCAGGCTGCGCAACTGGCTGCGCAGCAGGCTGCCCTATGGAAGCCCAAGGGTCTTCCAAGCGGTGCCGCGATTTTCCAGCGCAAATCTGAGTTTGAGCGTGAAATCAGTTTGTGCGTCCCGTCAGATGCTGGCGCCTCTCGACACAAGGCCTCACGGGCAGCTACGCTTCAAGGACGGAAGGCCCCTTTTGACGGCGCTTTCTGGCTTATGTAATGGTTGAAGTTCCAGATCGCTGACCTTTTCGATTTGATGCTGGGACTTGTTATACAATAACCCTCTCAAACCCTTCGAACCGATGTGGACGAGTCACTATATATGGTCACTTGGTCCATCGCCTTCAGGGCAAAGGCGCTTAAGATAGGGTGGCTGACTCGCAGTTCAGCCACTTGCTTTTCTTGCTTGCGATGCTCTCACGTAGTGTGCTAGACCTGTCGAAACCCAACCTGCCTCTGGTCTTGATTTCAGGCGTGTGTGTTCATGAAACATGACCAGGCTGAAAAGGTCTTGAAGCTTAGCTCCCTGTCAAGACCAGCAGTTGCCAGCGTGTCGGACGGCGTCTGGCTTTTGTCGCTGACCCTTTTGCGAAGCCTGCCACGGCATTGAGGACAAGACCAAGCTCCAGAACGACGCCTGCAACGCGCAGGACAAGCTCTTGCGCCCTTTTTGCTACAATGCGAAAGGGTATGGCTGCGCAGGAGGCGGGGTTTGAGAAGATCAGGTTACAGATGGCTGTAGAGCCAGGCTAGAGTGAGCTGGGATCAATGCGAAGGTTCTGAACAAGATGAGTAGGCCGGTTAGGGCCTTTGGGCCTTGTATCACCTGTTGGACATATATCTCATCCCTGTGTTGGAGACCAGCGCAACACCAGTCATTGCAGCGATGGCCTTTGCAAGCAGCGGCAGAGAGCAAAGGGCTTCCTTCGCTGTGGAAAACTGATAGATGACAAGCGCGTGAGCGGTTCAGGGCTCATCAAGAACGCCCACAGCGAGAAGGTAATATACCTTTCCAAAAATCGCTGCCAAAATGCCAATGTTGAACCACGCCGTGATTATATTCAAGCTTCTTGGAGAAGACCTTAAGCGCTCCCAGGAACAAGGCGCAACTTGCACAGAAGACGGAGATGGAGCCAGAGGGCAGATAATGCTCCGTTGTTCGTAAACATGTTGGAGAAGGTGAAGAAGGTTCAGAGCGACGGGGGTGATTTCTCGGAGAGGCTGGGAACCAATCGCGCCCAGATATTTGGTCTGGTCAGAACACTGACTACCACTACCAGTGTGGCGGGCAGCCAGGGCGGACTACTTACATTGGCAAGTGAAGGTACAGCTGGGTCCAGGATTGAAACACTCTTTCGCAGAGCAGTTTCAACAACGAGCCAGGCTGCTTTTGGTCCAAGGCAGTGTGACTCTAGGCTAGCGCAAACTCAGTGTGGCAATGGTTTCTTGAAGAACAGGGTTGCCATGTGGCAGCACTGTTTTGTTTGATGTGCGGCAATCATGTGGCAGTAGAACAGGTGTGGTGTGGCAGTGCCAGTATGAGGTTTGATGACGTTTGCGGTGGCAGCAGTGACTTTCAGTAGTGTGGCAACATGGAATTGTCTCCTGACATCCTCACCATAGAGGTTTATGGTAGGGAAACCGCCCAAATTTAAAAGTTACTTGCCTGCTGCAGCTAACCTCATCCTTTCTGTTTTTGTCTATTTTTGAAAGAGGCCACGCGGCCATTCTCTGAAAAGGTGCTGTCTAGAAGTTTTCGTTTGTGTCGCTGTGCAAGGTCTCACAAACCAGATGGGGTGACCTCGCACCTTGCAGCAGCCTCTTGGTAAGGTCCAGCTGGCTACCAAAATGAGAGTACCATCCATTGGCTGTTGCAGGGCCTTTACCTTCTGTTGTTCACATTTTAGTTGTCATGTGCATTTTTTTTAAAAGCGCGCGTGGTAGCATCGGCCACAGAACACAAGAACGCCGCGATTTTTTTTTTGCTCTCGTTGAGACTTGGGGGCAGGGTTGGATGGGGGTATTTCCAACCAGCGTGGCGCTGTGTAATTCAACGGGCAGCGCTAGCCCCCTGCATGGTTCAACTGCCAGAGAGGCTTGCCCCGATCCACTCGAGGCCTCAAAAGTCGTCTTCAACCAGCATCTGATGGCTGCCGCGCGACGCCGCCGGCTGTTGCGACAAGACGAGGTGGATAGGTTGATATCTGGAAGGGGTCAATAGACAACTTTGTTTTACTAAAATGAACACAATAAAACCGGACGAACGCATTCCAATTTGGTTTTCGTTGTTCTTGCTTTCGTTTGCATATTTTGCAACTGCCATTAATGTAAATGAACAGATCGATGTGTTATATGCTGGCTTCACTTGAGACAGTAAGTTTCAAACGTTGCCATTTTTCAGTCTTCTTCTTCTTCTTCTGCGCGCTGTTTGTACAGTTTCTGTCTACAACTGCTTGCAGTCATTGATATTCTGACAAATTCTGCTGCAGCCACCAATGGTACACGCAACACCGACGTCTCCTGTATTTCGGGCAGTGCTTGGCCTCTGTACCCACCGTTCGACATCAGCCCACATTATCACGTGTGTACCCACTTGGGTCTCACTGTAACCTACCACCTTCGCTTTGTGATTCCGGCCCCCTGCAGGACGCGCTCAGAGCGCGTGATTTAATCTGTATTCTCTTGGCCAAGCGCAAGTAGCAACACCACCGCCAAGAAAAACATCACCAACTAAAAAAAGAGACAGAGAAAAAGAGAAAGAGAAATACATATATATATATACACTAGGTACTAGCATTAAGTCGACTCAGCTTGTGTAAAGTCGACTCGAAACCGTGTGCCCTTGCAGAACTGCACTCCTCAGGGATGTCTAAGCGTAGATTGTATTGATCTATAACTCATGTTTTGCGTTGTGCCCATGATGTGCCTGATTGTCACTTGTTTGTATTTATGAATTTGTTCTTTGGGGAGGGCAGCTTCCACAGGGGTGAAGGGTCAAGGATTTGTGGCAGTTTTGATGCAGAGCTCCTTGGGCCCATGCTCCACTGCTGCTGCTGCTGGTGCTTCTGGTTCGCTGCTGCTGCTTCTGTTTTGGTTGACCGTAGGAAGCTGTAGGACGACTGTAGGAGTCGTGCTCGCGCGAACCTCGCGCAGAGGCCTATAGTCACTTGTGTGTGTGTGCGCGCAACCTACCCTTTAAGTTGTGCAATGGTGTGAATGGTGCTGTGCCATTGAGATTTGGGCTGGAAACATCTAGAAAGCACGGCCAAATGCCGGCCATAACACAGTGCGCGCGCATTTTTCCTTGAACATATCGCTTTCCTGCCGCGCTCATTTTTTCTAGTGTGCGCATTGTGCCTTGACCAAAATGAGTCGACTTCACGCGAGTGGGTTGACTTCTCGCTGAATCCTGCAGGAACAGGCACAACAGCTGGCGCAACAGGAAACAGCAACCCAGGCATTGGCTGAGCAAAAGGCACAGCAGCGGGCAAAGGAACAGGCGCAACAGCTGGCGCGACAGGAAACGGCAGCCCAGGCATTGGCTGAGCAAAAGGCGCAACAGCTGGCACAGGAACAGGCGCAACAGCTGGCGCAACAGGAAGCAGCAGCCCAGGCATTGGCTGAGCAAAAGGCACAACAGGGAGCTGGAAGATGAGAACTGGCGACTTTGTAGTACAACTTTAGTACGCGGAGTATCTGGGGAGCTGGAAGATGAGAATTGGTGATTTGGTAGTAAAACTTTAGTACGCGGAGTATCTGAGGAGCTGGAAGATGAGAACTGGGGACTTGGTAGTATAACTGTAGTGTGCGGAGTATCTGGGGAGCTGGAAGATGAGGACTGGCGACTCTGTAGTATAACTTTAGCGCGTGGAGTATCTGGGGAGCTGCAACATGAGAACTGGGGACTTCGTAGTTGACTTCACGCGACGTGGGTTGACTTAAGTACGCCGCTTGTATGTATATATATATATATAGATAGATGGCCCGTTGCTTTCACTTCCTAGCAAGCTGCACGCGCGTCAACATCACCCAACTGCGCTTGCAACTTCAAAAGGACGTCAACACCACACGGCCCCCACCCCTTATGATATATATATATATACTCATTGACAACTCTGATAAAATCTAGCAGCCTTCACCTGCCAAGCAGGCAGAAATCACCAACCTGAAGTCGCCTGCATGGAGAACAACGCCACACGCATAAGGACATAAGGTGTAACGAAGACAGCGCGTGCAGAAGCAACGCTACAACCCTAGCCCTCGCCAAAGAAGGGACTTGGTCCATTTAGCGCAGTTTGTTCCGCAGAACTGGGTGTGACAAGTTGAGAGAAACTGTTTTGCAAATCAAAGTTCAAAGATTCTTTTTAACTAGGAGCAAAGAACGCTACTAGGAGCTCCTGGCATGGCTACTAGGAGCAAGGACGCTACGGGGGGCTCTTGGCCGTACTACTAGGAACAAGAAGCTTCTAGGAACAAAGACTCTTTGCTCTTTGCTTTCTTCGTGTTCTCCGTTCTCCCCTCCCTTCCGCTCCGAAGGGCTTCGAGGCTGAGCTGGTCCGACGGGCAGAGGAGCGCCGATGGCCAGACGGGGTGACGGTGGCCACTTGGGCTGCCCGAGATGCAGCGCTGGCGACGGTCGCGTTGCGGCCGACCTCATTCGACCTCGGTTTTGACTGCCACTAATTGCGGAGGAGCTGCCTACTTCGCCAAAAAAGGAGAGGCTGACACGGTTGAAGGCTGAGAGTAGGGATGTAGGGATGCAGCATTCTGACATTCTTTATCATTCTCAAAGAGCCTATACATCTGAATTTCACATGCTTTTGACAAAATCTGTACTTAGCTAGCAGCTAGAAGGAGTATCGCTTTCTTCAATACAATTTGCGGTTGGGCACGTCACAGGCCCAGCAATTTTGTGTTCTCAATCTTATGACGTTTTCCGTGGGTTCAATTTCCGTCACTTTGATTTGCCCAACAGCGGCGGCGACGGCTTACCACTTCACCAGCGGATACCGTCGGTCAAAAATGCGACAGAAGCATTCGGCGGTGAGAACTCTCCAACGAGAAAAACACCCACCACTTCACCACGTGTGCCAGACCACTTCAGCGCCCGAAGCCACCAGCGGTACGTATGACGTATGAAAGGATTTGCCCCCTTTTTTCCGCGGTAAAAACCTGCCGCACTCAGAATTTGTTTTCCAAGCCTTGAGTTGGACATAAAGGTGGCAAAACTTCACGATCAATCTTGCCGCATTTCTTCCGATTTGGAAATACCATGTGACAGCAAACATCAGCAAACCTAGCGTATCACTTTCTTTGCTTTTCAGATGTTGTGTGCCACCCCTGAGGATTCTTACGGTAATTTCAGGGTGCGCAGTCAGTCGTGCTTTGCCTGCAGGCCTTCACTGCGCGAAAGCGGCAGGTTTGGAAACGAGATGAAACGGGATCATGCAGACTTGTCATGAATCGCGATTGGCTTTACCGTTCCTTTCCAAGTGAGGTGAACAGGCTGGCAATTGCAGCCCGTATGCGTGCGCCATCCAGAAACAATCAAGGCCAGGAAATTGTGAGTCTTCGAACCCTCTGGAAATTGTGAGGTTTCTTGAAACATCACATGTCTAGCCCCTAGCGCCCCTAGCTCTGTGGTCTTTTTGCAGATGGAGCGACCCACGACGGCACGATGTCGGTAGGTGAGGAGACTTCAGACGTCAATGTGCCTCCTCGAGCCCCTCACGAGCCTACTTTGGAGCAGACCCTGACCCATCAGGCGTGGGTATGACACGCGCAGCATCGCGCACCCCTCAAACTTCAAGTAAATTGGACCTTACCCCCCTGCCTGCCTTGCTGTACCATGACTTTTCAAGAACTGTTGATTTGCATGACCATGACTTGCTTTGCATGATCATGGCCAGCCGCACGACGAAGCCACATGTTTAATCGTTTTATGGCGACCAGAATGGGCACCTTCCTTGCACATGGGAATGTGCTTTTTGGAACACCCAGACTGAGAGCTTAGCTGGTCTCTTCTACATGTTTTGACAGGATTCCCCGCTCCGTGCTCTTAACCGATCTAAATCTAATTTCGAGCGGACACTGCTCCTGGAAGCCTGCGGGGCCTGACGTCGCTTTCTGAGGCTGAAGTGCCTTCAACATTTGCCGTGATCGCAATTGCATAAGAGCGTTGCATTCATATGTTGGCATGCTCCAAACCCTGGCAAACGATAGGGGACTGACAAAGAAACAATACCCTTTAACAAGGTTCCAAAACAGTGGGAAATGATGAGGGGGCTTACAAATATGACGACGCAACAGCCGCACATAACACCCAGTGCCCTCTCCTGAGCCTGTCGCCTGACGTCTTTGGCACCACTTCGACGGCCTTCTCAGGCCGCTCAGTGCCTAACGTTGCTTTCTGACGCCAATACTTTTTAAAGCCTAATAATTAAGCCTAATAGCAATGGCCTCCAGCCTACTGGCGACGGCCTCCGACCTAATAGTAAAAGATTTATTCCAACACCCCTCTCCCCACAACCTCTCCCCACATTGAATCATGATTGCTCGTCGTTCGCCACATGAACCATCGAACATCCGTGCGGAAAGCAAGCTCTCCAAAGCCCCGCGTTCACTGCCAAACGTCGTTTTTAACGCTGCTAAAACGCTCTCCAGCGCCTGCTATCTCCTATCGGTTCAGACCCGTCTCTCGCCAACCCTGTCACAGCCCTCTCAGCCCCCTCACGACGAACCCTCCGATGCAAAAGTTGCTCTCCAGAGCCGAAGACGGACAACTGCCACGGTGCATTCTCTGGCGCGCTTCCTATTTGGGGTCGGGGGGATTCTTGAGAAGAGCACCTCTGAGGATCATGGTAAGTTGCTGCTGGCCTACCACAGGCGAGCTCAGCCTTCCATGAGAGGGCAGAAGAGACGGGTGGCACGGGATCCCAGAGACATGGTTTTCATATGTTTTCATTGGTTTTCATACGATGCGGGGATATGGCAGGACCAGGAGCTGGAGCGTTAAAAGTGCAGATGATTCATTATTATTGTTTTGTTGTCTTATTTATTCGTAGCTTTTGGCTGTTAAACCTAGTGTTTTGTGTTCATTGGCTCAGATGTTTTTGCAGATGCCGAACCTGAGATTCAAGACGGAAGCAGCTGCTCGCAATTTTTCATTTGCAATCACAAGGGCAACAGGGAGGGCCAGCAATGTAGAGTCAAGACCTCGGTTGGCCTGTTCTGATACTAGAGCTGACTGGAAAGGTTGTTTTCACCACTAAATCTGGTTCATTTTGTTTGTTTGGTGGAATTGGCCCGGGCTTTGCAAGGACGAGCCTTTGACAGTACCCAAAGATTTTATGGTCCCCTCTCACGTGTGGTCTCCTTCGGTTCGCCGAGTTGAAGCCCTACATGGAGCGATCTGTGGCGAGGCGAGGTGGATGAATGGCGTTTGAGAAGTATGAGACGTTTTGGCCTCACCGGCCAACCCAGGGGTGTACTCCATGGCAGTTTGTTAAAGTTACGCCGCCCCGTGGAACCAGGCCGATTCAGACAAGCAGCATTACCGTATTGCACCCGTGTCTTAGCCCCTAAGCCCAACCAAATCACGCAGGAGGGTGCCAAATTGGAATGCCTGGACAAGGATGAAAAAGGGAAACGTGTCGTCTTGTATAAAAGA